CAGTCTTGTAAAACTTCTACATGAAGTGAATGCAGTCACTTCGGTGGCTGGGGTCTCAAGCCACAGTCTTGTAACATTTCTACATGAAGTGAATGCAGTCACTTCGGTGGCAGTTCGAAAACTCTGTACAAGATATTGATAGCCAATGAAACAAAGACAAAATGCATAACTGAAGGATTTAGTCTTGATTCAAGACTCTACTGTAGGTACATTGGGTCATCAGAGGGCATAGTCACTAGACTTGAAATGGAACAGATGGAATTTATTCAAGCAACTAAGACTATGTAGACCTAGTCTCAAATTTGGATCAGGAATAAAGCAATCGAACTATCCCTGTTTGTAAGTTGGCCAAAGCTCTTAGACAAAAACCCTGAGAGATTTTGCATGTTGAGTTTTGCTTCTGATTTTGTGTCCCACATCCATTTTGTATATCCACTGTGTAACTAGAAAATATTTCACAAGCTGCCCCGGAGGCAATTCTAACACGATAAGTCAATTTCCTGTGAAATAAAAATTGAACCTTCCTGTTTTACAAAAGAACTTTCACAGGTTTTTATAGGTATACACAAAAACAGAAAACACAACTCCAATAAACTGGTTAACTTGACCCCTTTTGGCAATTCCAATGTTCACTTTTACACATGGCAATCGACACTACTGGCTAATAATGACCATCCAGACTGTGAGAAACTGGAGAAATAACATCTCACACAATTTGTGTATGCTGGAAGGTTTTCTTTATTGATTTCAACTGCAAAAGGGAAAATACAGAAGTCTAAATTACTTTTTGATAAGGTGTTTTATTGGAATTTATAAAACCAGTATGAATTGCTGTCAAATTCTCACCTAAATTTTCCAATTCTTGTGTTTTGGGCTTTTGCATTAAATGTAATTTACGGAAAGAGTTCCATATACAAACACCACTTGTGACACTGTGCACAAACCCTATGGGACTGCTCTGAAAAATTCCAAGTGTTTTCAAAGTATTAAAACGGCTTGGTTTTTCCTTCCTAAATTGAACTTTTCTGGACATGTTTGCTTTCTGACGGCTAATAGGTCACTGTAGGTAACAATTACTGGCGTCCGTATATGAACTCTTCCTGAATTTACATAACTTTAGGATGTCATAATTGGACGGAACAATTATTTTTGGCTGAAGGATTAAAGGAGGGGTATATAATTGGCACTCGAGTTGATAAAAGAAAGTTTTTTCATTTGTTTTGTTCAACTCAAATGATATGGCTTTTGGTAAAACAGGAATGCAAATTAGCATGCACATGTACATTTGAGTTAAAAATTTACCTTTAATAAATTACAAAAGTCAATCAATTCACATTTAACAGAACTTTCTTTACAGACGGCAAGAAAATAAAGTATACATTAAAAAATAAAAAGTACATGTCGAATGTTTACAGATATAACATGCTGTCATAATCAACCAATTGAGCAATCTATCATGGCTGCCAAATAACAACTTTGAGTTTTGCAAAGTTTGAGTCGAAATCCATCCCTCTAACATTGGTTCAGAAAGAGGCAACCAGTGTCACAGCTCATTTTAATGGTGACTTTTTTTCCAAAAATGCTTCCATCAATCAAAGCATCACTAATTACATTGGCAGGGCATTACTAAAGAGAAGGAAAGTTGATTCAGATTCCTTCCAAAGTAGGGCAGAGCCATAAATATTCCTGTTCTTTAAATGTGTTACTTGCACTCATACTGAACCTACACTAAAAGAATAAAACAAAACATGCCAACAATGAAGTCATTTTGTCACCAACCGTACCCTGTCTAACATATTCTTAAACTCTATGGAAGAAAAAAAAGGTTATGGGTTTTTTACTCTTGCAGAAAGACTAATGCCAGTGACATGAAGAACATGTCACAAATATCAAAGTATTCATTTGTAAATTATTAGCAAATTTAGATAGCAGAATGAAATTTTCTTAAACGGATGATCCTCCAAATTTCGACTTTAAGTAAAAAGGTTACAAATATTTCAAGGACGTGAAGGTCTGAAAAATATCCTGTTCTCCCTCAAATTGTTACAAAATAATCACTTATTGTAAACATTATAAAAAAGAATTCAACCAATACTTTAGAATAAGTTTTCCAAGTCAAGCACTCTCACATAAATAAATACAAACAAATTAAAATACATAAAGACATGGTTTTACAACAGTTACACACTTTTCTGGCCATACGTCCCATTTCAATTAGGTGTGATGATCTATGCCTGGAGTGTTCAGAAAAAGTCACACTACATAAAAACTTGCACAATAGTTTTTGACAAATCTGATAATTTGCCAGAGTTGTGCTGGGTACGAGTCATTATTGCTCTTGAATTATAAAGAGACATTAAACACTTTTAATCCCACTTTTTAAAAAGTGACGTCTTGTTTAGTTCATTTTATACATGCATTTCTCACTAAAAAATTTTTTTAGTTACTTTGAATTCTTTCTTCAAAACTCTCATGTAAACCTCAACTGGGGAATGACAAGTGACAAATATCCCAAAGAAAAACCTGTCATTCTTGCACGGTACAAACTTTTCCCAACTGTACAGCAGTATATGACCCACATACAGTGGGGCAGCCACAGGGGGCCTGCGGCACTTGCACTCCCCCCCCCCCACAAATTCCCAATCCCCCAAAAAAAACACCAGATGAATGGATATTGAATACGGCTAACCAAAGCTTGCCCCCCAAAAAAGCACACCGCTGGAAGTCCCCATAAGATGCTGCTGCCCCCATAAGATGCTGGAAGTCCCCCTAAGATGCTGCTGCCCCCTTGTGCCCCCTCCACCCACTAGTAAAATTACTGCCCACATATGGAAGATTATTCTACAGGCCACACATGTAGTCTTTCAATACAAATAAAAGAGTACATGTACATGCAATCAAGGCAGACATTCCACACAGACATTCTTACAGAGCTAAGAAACTGAAATACCCAAATAAGAACTCAGACCTCCACAACACTGTACGGGTAAGATCTTGTGGGTCTTGTGGTTTTGAATCCTACTCCAGATAATTTGCTCGTTTCATATTGTTGATTTCCACATGTTCAGTACACATGACAGTCAATACCATTTCAAAAGTACAGCTACGGGTAAGATCTTGTGGGTCTCGCGGGTTCGAATCCTACTCCAGATAATTTGCTCGTTTCATATCGTTGCTTTCCACATGTTCAGTACACATGACAGTCAATACCATTTCAAAAGTACAGCTACATATGCCCTGTTTACTACTAAACGCAACCCAGATCTGATCAACAAATACTGAATTGAGCTCTTTGGTTTTTTTCCTTCCCTTTCCAGATTACTCAACAACGAGGAACTAGATGTCAAAGAAATCAGGAAGTATTGCCATTTAATTTTACTTCTCGTTCACCCCCAACACAGAGCGCATCAAAAATAGAAAACTGCATTTCGCAGCAATACGCTAAAAATAATGTAGCACTTGCGCACGTACAGGGCTCTGGTGTAATATATTCACTAAGGATGAAGATGTCATGTACACAACCTCGGATCAAATCTTGGCCCATTCCATCTGGGAAAGGCACATGGTTTATTTACGCACCAGATGCCTAGGGAATTTTTGCACTGAGCTTTCTAGAAGCTGGGGGGGGGAGGTGATTGGAACGTCACGCTGTAATGAGAAGACAGCTGATCCATTGGAATGTAGATATCTGCTTCTCCAATTAAAGGGACTAAGGATGGCACGCGATGTTCCTAAACATCTGTGTGCTTCTCAGAATTTCTTATTTCTGTTGTCGTATTTAATTTGTATGTGTTTCAGCAGGGATATTTTAGCAGGATTCTACCAATTCTCGAATTTGATCTTCTTGGATATATGTTAGGGAAGGCATCATTAGTTCTAAGTGTAAATCCGATTACAAAAATTTGACTCTGTTTAAAGTGAGGTTTTGTTTTTGTCTGGAATCAAACAGTTAAAAACTACGACAGATTTTTTGGGTTCCAACTGAACTTGATGATCAAAATGCCCCTAAATTATTTCAAATTTATCCTTTGAACTTCCCCGAATGCTGAAAGGAGGACTTATCTTATTCCTCCAATTTATTTAACTTCGTTCGCTCTGATAGTTATTTGTAATATACAAAGATTCCCGAATGAGATAGTTCACTTCATTTTCTACACTTACTGAAGATCAGTTGGAACCCTGATTTGTGTATATTGCTTTATTAACTGGAAAAAAAAGACAAATCAGAACAAATCATACTGCAGCTTGAGAGATTCTGAGGGCTTTTTGGTAGACTTCCAATAATTCTGCATCCATTGCACCCACAAGCTCATCCCTGGTATATAGTTCCTCACCCTCCTGCTCGGCTGTGGATGAGGACCTGTCCCCATCCGTCATGGTCAACGATTTCACCTCTTCCACTGAATACTGGAATTTCTTGGTTACGGTGGGCGTGCGCAGGCTGGGCGAGTCCAGGATATCCAGGATGTCTTCGTTGCTGGAACTTGAGTTGTCGTGTTCCAGAGTTGCAACATTTGCCACTTCGGGCAGAGCCTTGGCGTCCGGGCCGCCGGCCACTGCTGTGGTGTAAATAGACTCCCACATCTTGGCGACGCGTGAGTACTTACCCCGCGAGTGCCGCCGGGTGATCTTACAGACATAGTTCAGCCTGTCCGGCACTCGGAGTCGGCAAGATGACTCCTCTTGCTGGCTAGGCTTCTCGCTGAGCAAGCAGCAGCTTGTGAGGTCTTGGTCGATGCCTGAATCTCTCTTGTTTTTCTCCTTCCCCGCCTTTCTCTCTCGTTCCATACCGGATTCTATGCTGGCACCACTCTTACTTTGTCCAGATTCATTGATCTCCAATCCACTGTCGCCTCCGTTGTCTTTTCCCTGCTTCTTCAAGATGCCCTTCTTTGTCCTTGGCCTCACTACTGCTTCCTCCTTTGCTGACCTCACTTGAACATCTTCACGTTTCTGGTCTCTGTCCAGTTCCTTCCCTGAAGAGGACCCCAGCCCACTATCACTCGACCCGAGCCTGTGCGAAGACCTCCGCAGCGACTTCTTCAAGATGCTTGTGAGTGGCTTCTTGGCGTTTTTGTGACCGGGGCTGGCCGTGTCACCGTCCAGGACTGCTGGCTGCTGATGGCGGCGGATTTCCGGGACTTTCAAACAGGGGCGGGGCCCGTCCCTCAGCCAGGGGTGGCTCAAGATTCCGTCTATCGTGCTTCTTTTCCTTGGATCGACTGTCAGCATGCGATGGATCAAACCAGATGCTTCTAGAGACAGAAAACCATGAAAAACACTGACTGTAATTTGATAGCTCGTTAAAAAAAAACACAACCTACAGCGAATCCCAATCAAGCAACACACGTTGGATAAATGTTGGATCCTTGTTTTGAACTCTGTTCCCGAGTGTTCTTTTGGATGTAAAGAGGCTGTAAGGAAATGAGATCACTTACACATACAGGCCCTAAACCAGGGTTATGTTGTATGTTGCCTGCAACTGCACAATGTCTAACATGCAGAATCAATCTATATTTTATCCTCATACCAGTTCCCAGTTAATGGATAAAGTATAACACCGCATCCCTTTCTATCAAATTTGGTTGATGTCCATGGAACTGTAACTGCAAAGCTGTTATGTCTGGCTGTACCTGATAGGCTGGGTGGTTCGTAGAAATCTCCCCCTGTGATTTGGGCCTTTAGCTGTGCAAAATCCGCTCCGTGGAACGGCATGGTCCGATATACCATGGCGTACAGGATCACGCCCAGGCTCCAACAATCCACCTGTCGGCAGGGGAGGGGGGGGAAACAAAAGAAAACCCAAACGGTGACAGCTGGTTGACAGATGTTGGAGTGTTTGGATACATGTATGTACATGTTCACAGACCAGAATGTGGGCTCTGCACCACCCTGATGTGGTTTGTTGGGCAAGGGTAATTTTTGGAAATCTGTTCTCCTGATGTCAAATCGTTAAAAATGAATAAAGTCTGTGAGAAGGGCGCATAATTGGAATGCCTTCGTTCTTTTGGTTTGACAGGACTTGAGATCATAAGCGCTGACCACAGTGGGATGACCGCAGTAAGCCTAACTCAAACGTCACTAATTAAACAGATGGTCCAAGTTTGGAACCAATTAAAATCAGTGAACTGCAACAGAAACCAACATGTTCGCAATTAGCAACAAGGCTCTGATTCAAAAGGCTGCTCATCAGCTAAGGAAATTTCCAAGTAACATATTATGCATCATTTTGACAAGTAGCGATTGCAACACTGAACACAGGGCCTCTTTGATTTCAGCCTGTTTGAGAAAAGATATTCATCTCTGCTTCTCCAGTAATGCATCACATGACAGCTAATTTACTATAATTCTGGTTGAAAGCAGCTCAAGAATACGTAGTTTTGCAAAGAGTTGAGCATACAGCAGCAAGCCTATGTGAAGTGCACATAAAAGTACTACCCATGCATAAATGACCACCAGTGATGTAGAGAATAACATTTTGAGTAAGGCAAATGTTGCTATGGAAGGTAAGTGTGTGCTTTCAACCATAACAGGATTTCACAATAAGCGGTCATACCTCCGGTCCATGGTAGGGAGTACCGTTGATGATCTCTGGCGAAGCATAAAGCGGGCTACCGCAGAACGTGTCCAAAAGACGGCTGCGATCAAAGGTGCTGGAAAGGCCAAAGTCGGCAATCTGGAATGACCACAAGTTGAAAAGAGAGAGATCCGTGGTTAGCATAAATGTGACAGACACTTGGAATTTATACCTAAAGGATCATCAGAAGTGCTACCATGCACAGAAACTTGCTAAGCGCGGACATGGATGCTGAGCAAAAACAGTTTACCAGCCAACAATGCCATGTGATTAGCATTACTTGTGAATGGTTCCCAGCTTCCTGAGTAGACAAATTTGTTAAGTTGTAGTTTCTCCTTTGCAAATTGCCAAATATATGGCCCTGCCAAGGGGATTCCATATGTACATGTATACAGGATAGACTTGTTGATGATCTACAGGGCTAAGTCCTGAGTGGCCAAAAAGGGCACACACTACATGCAGTATTGTGGCTACTTTTCGTCAGAATGTGCACAGACCTATAGTTCCTTTACTGCCTGAGTGTAGGAACAAGGTACACGGGGTGCAAAGGTGCCCTTCAATGAAACTTAAATGTTGAGCAAGGCCCTGGCAGTTTCACTCTAAAGAGAGAGAACTGACTGAACATACAAGTACCCGGTAGTAAGACACATTACAACCTGACGGCACTACAATAGACATTAATTTGCAGACAACTGGACTGGAACAATTTGGACTGCTAGTGCTGAATGTTGCCACTGTTCTATAAATGTGAACTGTAAAAAAAAAAAAGTGATCCATTTCTACAGGCTGGTTAGAATATTGGGAATAGTTTTGCAATTTGTTCAACGTTTGAATTCTTTGTTCTTTGTCTTTTCTTCTTGTGTTCTGGTTGCAGTCAGGTTGTGGCTGCACTTCGTAGCCTGCAGCTAGAATTTTCCAAACATTAATAATTGAGACAGCAAAAAAGAAGGCACACTGTGTGACAGTTGTTATCAACAGGAAGGAACCCGGAGCTGATAGAGAGAAGTGTCACTTCCGATGGTGTGTTTGGAATTCACACAGGAAAAGTGACTCTTATTTCTCAGGGTCCCAGGAGGACAGAATCCTCCACTCTATGAATACAGAATGCGCAGCATGAGGATGCAATGAATCACTTCATTGAGGAACAGAACAACCTTAACGTCCAAATATGTGTTGCATTTTTTTTTTAAAGATGGATAAATCTGCATGTGTACAAGGTACATACAGTGCTTGTAACTGACAGTTTTGGGCAATTTCGGTACCGTGGCAGCGGATTTCGTTGAGAAATCACAAACTAACACGTATGTGTACATGTCACACTAAAGTTTATACTGACTACTGAATAGGTTTTATAACGTGCACAGCAACGATGAAAATTCTGTCTATTACTTCTGCTGTCTCAGTTTGAAAATGTTTCCAGTGCAGTTTTACCTTTTCTTTGCCACAAAGACCTTAATTGAACTGATTCTTCAAAATTTGACTATTATCATTGAGCATGGAATGTGTGCATGCAAAGCTGATTGGCACAACTTCAAAACTAGTAATTTTTTGGTGAAAGTCAAGATGAGGTCTTATCAATGTTGTACATGTGTGCTTCAGAAAGTGGATCAAAGCACAAATTTCGGTCTCTACATACCGGGATGTATAAAAACCAACCAAGTTCATTTTCACTTTGGATTAATACCCTGGGTTTCACTGTAAAACATCCAGCAAGTCAGTTCATGTTTTCATCAAAATGAAGGAATGAAATGTGGCATTTTTTGGTATGTATTTCCTGTCCTTTGATATACCATGCACTCTCGTCTGAGGCAAGATGCATGGTTGATGGTAAGGTTGCAAAGGGTCAAGGATAAAAAAAAATGAATCAAGTACATGTGGAACACAGCTGTTGATAATCATTGGCTGCTGTTGCCATCATTTTGACTATCATTTTGCTCTTTGGCAGAGAGATCTAGACAGAGACCCAAGAGATCTCTGCGCTACATACCCTGACCCCATCGGGAACACACAGCCGACATAATTACTGATATTGGCCGATGGGTTCATTCTCCTGTCACACCTCGTAAGGCGAAAAGTCACACGATTCGATTTGACAAGAGCGGATAGGCGAGACATGGAAATATGCATGGCTTGTCAGATGCAAAGCTTGAGCCACCAGCAGTGAGGTGGAGTTACTTCTGAATACATCAGAAGTGCTTGGGTGAGGAGTGTAACATCCCAGACAAGAAAATCATCATCATGGAAATAAGGAAGATGGCTTTGAATGCATCTCCACTTGTGGGTTTGTATCAATAATGCAATCTTTAAAACAGATGAATTTATGCAGTTGACCCTGCCTTGGGTACTGGAACAATATTAAAAGAAAAACTCAAATTCTTTTTTTTTTTTCTTTTGCTATACAGAAACGCACACTCTTGAGCAAACAAGAGATGTCACATAAAGGTCACTCTGAATTCGATGTCAGTTTATAGGACATTTCTAAGAATTTTGTTTGGTGAAAACTTTCAAACATTCAGCCTTTTTGATTCTGGTGTTGCATTATCCCCCATCAAACCTACACACTGGGCAATCATCAGGTTAAAAATGCTTGGAGTAAAGTCATTTCAAGTTCAAATAATTGTTACAATTATTCAAATGGCACGCACAACTAACTACATGTATACGTGTGCTTGATTGCTTCAAAAAACATTTCACTGCTCTTGAAAGACCTTTTGATCCCCCACAAATTACATGTATGCCCTTATCCTCCAAGAACATCCTTCCATCCACCCCTCACGGGGCAAGAGAGCAGAGGTGCACTGCAGTCTCCTGCAGCCTATTAAAATCACATACATGTACATGTATGTACATGCGTACATCATATGAAAGGCTTGGCGGGAGGGCTGACGTACACAGCAATCCCAAGGTGAGCTGTGGGCATGAGAGACCATTTGAAGTTCATCCGTGGCCGCTGTGAGCTCAATGCCGTAAAGCTCAGCAGGTGAACTGGGTGTGATTGACAAATCTACCGGTACCTGTACATGCCGGGTCGAGAACTTGACTTCTTGTTGCAGGTACTTCACCTGCAATAGGCTGAACTCAATGGAATGTGCTGGTAGATGTATGTGTAGAATGGTTGAATCAAAGGCTGGACTCCTGAGTAAGCCACTGGAGAGCTTAGGATTTGGATCCCGGTCAGACATTTTACTGATGCCGTTTGATGACTGTCTCAGAGTGTTTTCATTATCGACAGTTGATTTGCAAGCAATCAATCAAGAAATAAAGTATATTATTAAAAAAAATAGCTTTGTGTTTTTAGATTCCATACAATCATATGCGTGGAATTGGTGGTGATAAAGTCCCCTTTCAGGCTATAAACCAGAGTGAACAACCCTGTTTGTCCAACTCTGATGGGATTACGACAAGAGAATTTGACCCAAAAACAAAGGATGATTTCAAGTGAAAACCGCGACTCTTGATGAAACTTTGCAATTGGGCAGTGGTATTTTTTTTTCACATTGTTCTGTCCGTCACCGAACGTAATGAAAAAAGCAAGCACTGTACACAAGCATGTACATGGATACTTGGAACATCAGAGGATTCAGGGGACTGCTCATAAAAACTGCTGTGTGTGTCTGACAGATGACCACATAATATGTCCTTTTGCTGGCATCAATCGTTTCCTTTTTCCAATGTCATATCTTGCATAATTTAATCAGACAGCAAGAAAGCCCACAGGAGTGTGAACTCTCTCAGCTGGTATCCTGCAGTGTGAGTGAGGCATGCCCCAAGGAAGGGACCCGCTAACCGCAACATGCAGGAAACCAGGCCAGTGTGGCATCTGACACACAGACAACCAATCAACCAAACCGGTTTCTGATGAACCAAGATCCTTCCTGAGGGTGAAGGTGACTGACCAGCGGTGGTCAAATACCTGCCACATCACCGGGAGTGATTTCCAGGGAAAAAATGAAGGGGGTAGGATGGAGGGAAGGGGAGACACACCACAAATTTCAACATCTAAGACAAACGGTGACAAATTACTGGTGGTCACATTAAAGGAATACACCACATGCCAGCCATATTGAATTCCCCGAAACAGAAGTTAATTTGCTTGTCAACTGTTTTAAAAATAGGCCACAATATGATGAAGGGAAGTGCAAGTTTTACGAGGATATCTGTCATTTTTGAGAATATGCTCTTCTAATTAACTGAATTATGAGTTCCAACATTTCCAATTTCGTAAGAATGGAAACTGAAAGATACACAACACATTCTGTGCCTTTTGTCTGAGTGATTTCACAAGTGCACATAAATGAGATGTTTGGAATGACAAGTTTCAATCATGTACACTATTCATATTTAGTAATATTTTCTTCTGGGAAGTGACCATATTTTCCTTCCTTTCAAAACCAACCAAATTAGGACAAACTGGCCGAGCACCGTGCGGACAAACTATCCTAATTAGATGACACAAACGAAACTGAAACACGTGCCATGTGACAGTATTCATGCACTGTCTTCTTTCTTTTTGATAAACTGTGTTCAAAATAATATCCTCAAAAACACCTAAAAACCAAAGCACATACCTGTACCGTGTATATATTTAGAAACAATCTAAGCCAATGCTTTTCAAATTTAATAAAAACGTCCTTCACTAACAGGCTTCAGGGGATTATGCTATCCTAAAAAACATCTGAACTGCTGACACCGAGCATTCCAGCAGATGAAATGGGCCAGACCCTTGAGTCTTGTTGGTGTCCCTGTCATCATGATGCCATATGACAGAAGCTTACAGCAATAAAAAAAACTGGGGGGGGGTTAAAATTCATGAAATCTAAGCCTCTGGGGCCTTAGGAAGGGATTATATCAATACCACTGAGGGGAAGAAACCTGCTGGTGTCTTGAACTTGGGGGGAGAGAGGCTGGAATGTCAGGCCACATTGTCTAAGTGGATCTGAGGTTTGTGAAGGGAGGAAAGGACTGTTCGTTGAAACAATTGGGGCGCATGTACACTGTGCATGATGTTGAAAAGGATTTGTGCAAAGTTATGGCAAAGAACGTGAAGATACATGTACTGTACACTTGTGGAAGCCCCCAGTAATGATATAAGCAGTGAGCACATAGCTCAATCTTCCGCCATTACTGGGGGGGGGGCTTACTGAATCAAAGTGAACTTGATATGGTTACTGTTTCACTTTAATGTGCCTGTTTATATGAACACAACATTTCTGAAGAGTTGCTTCTTTTCCTAGGATTCAATTGACAATAAACCTTTCCGAACAATGTTTCCGATGACAACACTGACACTGTTTTGGCAGTTGATATCTGTCAACACAGGAAACTTAGAGCAATGCATCCTAGTTTCTGTACACTGTTTGCCTTTGAACTTGACAGAATAATTCCCAAGAGAGGAAGAGAGACCAGGAGAACTGTTGCGGTCTGGTTTCCTAGCCATGTCATGAACTGGTAGGAACTAAGTTTTGCATTCCTTCTGCGGTCACCTGGAAATATGTACTGTTGACATTACAGAGGTGACGGTGCCCTTTGTGATGGCAGCAAATGGATTACAACGAACCTTGTGAATGGCATTCAGTAATGTAAAAATATGCCATGGTTTTTAAAGGTACTGCGTAGCAGTACTGGCATGCGTTCAGCAGCCTTTACACTGCACAACTGTTTAGTGGAATTAGTGGCACGGGTAAATAACATATGTTGAAGTAACAGCAATATTTCACATATTCTTTTTTTTCAGGCTTTAGACACCAACTCACCTTGACGGTCAAGTCAGAATCCAACAAAACATTTTCTAGCTTCAAATCTCGATGTACGACGTTATTCTACAAAGAAATAAACAGGAAACACATCCAGTGTCAGGTATTTACATGGTAAACATTAATTAGTAAACAATACTTCTTCCAATATGTGGACCAACATGATATTTCTTCAATAAACAATTTCTACGGCCATTTTGTTCAAAATTCATGGAAATGTATAAATATTCTGGAAACTTCCAGAAAAGCTGAACACGAAAGCAAAACATTTCAAAACTTCTGCAATTTTGTTTCCTACTTTCCGGCAGGGCCCCTTTCTCCACAAGAACACACCTGTATTCTTCCCCTTACCTTATGAAGGTGCTGAACAGCCAAGGCGATCTGCCTGAACAACCTCTTGGCCTCTGCTGGCGTCGCTTTGCCGCCATTGATGTAATCGTACAGTTCACCGCCAGGGGCATACTCCATCACCATGACAATCTTATCTCTGCTCTCGAATACTGCAGACGAAAACAACAAAGAGGAGGAAAAAATGGAAAATTGTTAAGATCTGAATAATGTTGCCAATGGAACTGCCCAACTGAAATCTCCCAGTAAACCAACGGCAAAGTTACAAGTGCTAACTTTAAAAACCAGGAGAATACAACACACTAGTGTGAATGCTCCATGTTTGGCTTTTACTGGCGCACACACATGTACAATTGTACATGTACTTCACATGTACATGTACTTCGCAACACTTTCCTTTACTGGGATGTAGACGCAAGCCCTTTGCAGTTTTGGCCAAAAAAATCACAACAAAATGAAAGTTTTCATCTCTCTGTAACGTGGTGAACACACACACTCAATCAAATTTTGGGCATATCAGTAAATTCAGTCTTTTAAACCCCAAAGTGTGGAACATCTACATCTTTAAGAATGTATCTGGTGCGACCAAGCTGACTCTGATTCTTAAAAACAAAAATCCATTAAAATATCGCAATAACCCTTCAAAGTGGACTTTGAGGAACATTTTCATGTATGGGAAACTGGGCATTGGAAAAGCAGTTCACAATTTTCCAACATTCCCCGAAAGTAGTGCGGGCATTGACACGTTTAACGTTTGTTGGCTGTCCGGGAAACCAAGCGGCATTTCAGTTTCACTGTCATTCCCCGATTGGCAGGGTTGGATAACCCAGCCGGGTAAACAATACCCTGCATGTGTACACAAACAAAGAAACACTGGTATGCCACCCAGGCCACTGACAGGGGTACAAGGAAATCTCCCGCGGCCCCTCGTCAACATTACTCAGAAGAGGTGAGCCCCCAAATCGCAGGCACAGGACAATAATATTTGAACAGACCAAGGATCATCTCCTCTTGTCGTAATCTCTAAGAACTGACTGGGAGAATGGAACAGTGCAACTGTTCAGTATTCCGTGAAGGGACTGCATTACAATGAGTACAATGTACATGTACATGTACGTGTACACACTGGACTCAGTTCACAGAAAGTCTACAAACAGTGCAGTACACATACGCATGTCTAGACAAACATGGTACCAAGGTCCAACTTATGACACTGGCTGGGCAACCCATTTTCTGGGATATAATAGATCTCTGTGTAGGAAAATCTAAGCCAAGGTGACAGCCCTAATAAACTGAAGCTTCTTTTTTTGTTTTCCAGGGAAAGAATTAACCCAGGATGGAGGTTGATGACCCTGTAAAGGAAGTTGTTGAGCTGAATGACAACATGAAACAAATCTTCCCCCCCCACCAAGAGCTCCTGTGTTGGTTTGTTTTTTTCCCTCAGCATCTCACTGTAGCATGTAATCTGTGGTTTCATACCAGATTACACACCAGATTAACAGCCCATAGCTGAGAAGTACAGGCAATCTGGAAACTTACCCCCTGGGCTCCCTCCAAACCACAAAATTATTCAAACAACATAATTACACAGTACTTTTTGGAGACCCCTTGCAGGGAATAAAGATATCATTAATTAAACACAAAAATAAGTGGAATAGGTAGGAAGGTATGTAAAAGGTTGAATGCATGTACATGTAATTCTTTGGTACAGGTACTTTCCCAAACCTCCTTACATAACCTGCCACCAAATTTCCAAAATTTCATGGTTTGGGAAGTTTTCTTGTTAAATTTTGCTACCACGAAAAGAAAAAAATTACTGTATCGTGCCTGCTCGTATTTCTCAACCTATCTTGGCATCAGTGGCACTGGTTGTGATACAGATTTGTCAAGACTGTAAATTAACTTTGACATAGAAACCTTCAGCTTGGGGCTAAAGTTTTACCAAGAGCTGTTTAGGCTGCTTAGCATGAAAAAAGGAAAGAAAAAAAATCACTGCTTGCCAAATTTTCTTAATTACAAAGGGAGCAAGCCATGGACAGTAAAACCATATCTGGGCAAGCAGGTTCTTTGCAAATTGGTGTGATGCCATAGAACCATGATGGGAGTCATACAGTGTTGTAAAGTCTAATACAGGCGGCAAACAAGAGTACCAATGAAATTCAGCTTCCAGTCTTGATCTGTGATAACAATCACAGAGTAAACGAGGAAACATTTTCAGAGAGAGAATTTTAAAACTGGGCTTATCTAAATCCCTGCTAGATCCATCTGCTTCTGGCATAGAATGCTGATCCCAAGTACATACAGCCTACATACTGAGAAAGCAACTTGTTTAGTTATGCTCTACATTCCAAGAAAGAAAATTAAATTTAGAATGCATCATGGACAAGGTGCACAATCTATACTTTTTTTAATCAACGGTATTTTAATCCACATTATTTGTGAGGGGTGATACATAGAATGTGCCAGTACAAAGATATGCCCCTTGTCTTTGTTTTTTCCGATCCATTTATCAGTATTTAACAATCAAGAAGGCTAAAAATAGATGTAACAAGTGCCTCATTGAGACTTTGTAAAAACCAGGCATTTTTGAGCTAACCACAAGCCAGTGCATAGTACACAATGGAATGTCCTCATTCACAGGTTTTGTCCGTCAATCAAAATTTATCTGTTCAGACTTGACAGGCGAGTTATTCTTTATGACAAACGCCCCGCTTTGGGGTGTTTTTGTTTCATTAATCTTGTGGTTTGGGGACTTTATCCACACATGTAGCAACTCCTTTACAATGGTGTTATTTGAGGTGAATTTTGATTGTGCGTCAGCACAATACCGATGTCAAGGATTTCAAGTCAATAATGGGCATCACCCATATCAGCTGCACCAGGCCCTGTTTGGCTGTGCAGGTTGAGCAAACAGGTTCAACAAGAACAATATAACGCCACTCTTCAGTTCCTTTTTTTGTAAATGTGACTAAAGAAAAGTGCCTCACAATTTGTGAGCAACATCTCCTTTATGAAAGTCATGTTGGGAAACTATGCATAAACAAGCCTGCATGTTGTGAACACAGTCCAAAGGCCGGTTCATGTTTCAGCCGAACGCAATGTTCGAAGCAAAGTTGCTGGAGTCAAAATGTGTTCGACTTTTGCAAATATGCAGTGCAGATATTTGATCTGAGGCAAAAAAAAATTCACATTTGTTTGTGCTTTGGCACAAAGTATGAACAGGCGGTAATGGTCTGCAATTGAAAAAAAAACAAACAGACAGTCCAATAATAGACACAAAACTGGTAAATCAAAATAAAATCTTAAAAACAGCACTGATTTTTTTCTCATCCATTAAGGAGTTACTAAATTCAACCATTTGCCAGGAATTACCACTACATTGTACCTGACCATCACAGGGGCTCATACAAAGAAGGAACTCTTCTTTCATGGACAGCTGTCGATGATTTGAACAAGAAAGTCACATAAAGGAAGACATGACTGTACAGTTAGAAAATGGCGTACATGAAGCCGTACTGTTGTGTCTCTGATAAAATGGAAGTAAAATTATCCCCTCCCCCCAAAAAAACCTACAAAACATGACCAGAAGTTGTGGACAAACAACAAATGCGCGTGAATTCACTTCAGAATTGACAACTTGTTTACAGCATTCTGAGAGCATTTACATGTAGGGACGGTGCACTGTGACGTCAACGTCTTATTGCTGCACATGCCCACGTGAGGTGACAAAGGGGCTGCCTTCAACTGAAGTTCTTAAGACGTTGTCGAAAACAACTTCGGGCAAAACGCGACACAATGGTGACCACTTTGGCATTAAATCGGCAACACAAAAAGAAAAAAAGGGCTGGGTGGATATAACGCGTCACAAAGTAAGAGGATTTCTGACTACTGGAGAAAAAAGCACTACTTTTGCTGGTGCACAAACTGCGTACAAACCAACAGCCTAAAGATACTCGAAAGAGATTTGAGATGACATCAGAGAGAGCAGAATGCCGAGACAGCTCGCAATCATAGTATATCTGTCATCTATACCCAATAGGTACATGAACATGTACATGTACATGTGGAACAGGCCTTGGTAAAGTCACACAGACCATGACCCAGTGGCGTGATTGGTCATGCCCGATCTGTCATCTTTTTTGTGATAGAGGATGCCAATAGGATCCGGTTCCCCATCAATACAGGGTATTGTGCACAAGTAGGGTGGAGTACACATACCTTATTATTGAATTGAAATAGTCTTCGCTTTAAACTAATTTCATTACAAATTTTGTCTTTGTGTTCAGGTTGGCCTTACTCAGCAAAATTAACATCCGATCTCAACCTCTGCTGTTTTGCGTTTTTATTCAAGTTGTGCGGGTCATTTTTGCAAATTTGGGATTCAAGTTTTTCGTCCATGTCACATCAGACATATGATTTTGTTTAATTTCTATGAGTGATTAAGTAATGTAAATTACCTGTCTAACAAATCAAACTAGTTTGTAGTCAATCCAATGATACTTCCATGTCAAATTACACAGGTCAAGGGTCAAGAGTAACCGGGGACACAAAATGTCACACTTTCAGACTACAACTTTATGCAAAACCTCGTATAAGTTTGCCTTTTATCAACAAGAAAGAACACATCCTGCTGAGTATCATACTGGTTTTCCCATCAAAGTAATAATAATTGCCTCTTTTTTTCTTGCATAATGGAAACCAAGTACAAAGTACTCATTGACCACAAAGCTACACTGCATGCACTGGGTCATAGAGAAAGTACTTGGGAGCAGAAATTACCTCTCTATCGAGTTATTTCTTCCCATACAGAGACCCACTGGGTAACTGTAACCATAGAGCTACAAACCCATGGGGCACAGACTAGAGCCTGGAGGCAGGAGAACTGAGTCTGAAGTCATTTGAGGACCAGAGACAAAGTTTGCTTGTGCCTCACAAATTCCTCCAGACACTCCATCTGTGGTACAAACCACAACCACAAAGCAGATCTTCCTTTTTGTAAAAAAAAAAAAGACAGCTTGCGCTAAATTCTTGTGGGGTTTAAAAGAGGGTGGTCCAAGGAGAGAAAGAACCATGCCGCCAGCATGTGCTAAATGCCAGCATCTGGCAGACAAGTGCTGCAACTCCCAGCTAGAAAACAAAGAACCAGTGTGGCCAGACTTGGACCAGAACTCGAGGGCTGAATGGAGGCCTCTGTTTGCCAATGGAGGGGCAAGAGCCCCATCACAAGACCTTGGAGCACTTCACAGGAGACGCGGCCCATTGAGGCAAAGCCGCAAGGAAAACAAGCACTGGGGACCAGGGAGGAAGTGGCCCCAGTGTCATCCACTCTTTACATCAGAGGGGAAAGCCATAAATCCTTGGCCAAGGCGATAAAGAAAAGAGTCCTTTCATTGGCCTGGGATTAAGAGGTTTGGGAAAGTTATGGCATTTTGTGAGTAAGTTTCCTGTGTGCTGAAAACAGACCCTCCACCGGAAAGACAGAAAAAGTACAGAGCCAAAGTTCTCACGCATTGTCAAACACAGAACTTTAAAAAGAAAGATAGGGAGTATGCGATTAAAAGTTCAAGTTCAGCTGGGAACAAACTCCAGTTTTCACTGATATCACTGAGAATCAGTCATGGGTAAATCCTCGCTATTTATGTCTCAAAATCCAGATGGATATTGGTGGGTAGAAGATGGAAAAGCGAAACAACAGATAAAAAAAGACCGAGCAGACCATGAAATTGCTTGGTTTGGGAGAGCGGAAGGGAAAGGAGTGGGCATGCACCTGTTGCAGTCACAGGTTCAAATTAGAGATGGACAAGTTAAAGAAAGTTAAGAATTATAGTGCGATTGGTTTGTAGTGTCATGGAGCTTTTTTTATCGCTTAATGACAGCATGGAGCTAATAGCATGATGACAGCTATCATTTTAAATTTTTCTACCTATCCATCATGATCAACCTCAAGTTATGATCCTCTATAACTTACAAATATTCCTCTCCTAAGCATGAATGTACAATACAATGTATACACGAAAGTCACATACATGTACAAAGGTCAAAAACATGAAGTTAGAATTTGAGCAAGGAACTTCGACTTGAATAACATTAAAGCGTCTGGCATGCACTTTGAACAAGCTGCATTTTTTAAATCATGTTTTTGCTGCATGCACAATCAGTAATGTCCTGGGGCATTTCAAGGCCCCACTAAAGCAGTTATTTCTCTCTAGTGCACTGGCAGCAAATCCAAACACGCCCGATCCAAAGTCCGCACTCGCCTGGTGCGCAAACAAGGCCCCAGACACAAAAACTCTGCCCTGATAAATAGCCAAAATGCCCGTCACTCTAACAACAAGCACTCCAACGTGACATGCCCACCATCAACTCGTTGGAAATCGCTATAAGTGAAATATTTCTCCAGCAAAGCTTGCTGATATCATGAAAAGTAACATACAGGTAGTCATTTGTGTGACCTTTTTTTTTTTTTAATACAACCTAATTTTTAATTAGAAACAGAAATGCTGAGCTCATTGGACAGAGAGTATCCTTTCATAAGTGTATTCCAAGCTACACTGATAATGTGCAATATTGTAGCTAATTTTTTTTGTTTACAAAAGTGTTTTTCTTAATTTGAGCTACATGTAGGCTACAGTGCACATGTCGGTTTTTGCGTGTCTAAAATTTTTTGGACGTTGTCTGCTTGTTACTACAGAACTAACTGACAAAATAATTCCTTAATTCCTGATGACAATTCAATTAATAATCACACCATTTTCACAGCTTTCCACTGCTGTTGATGCTAACAAAGTACATGACTCAATATAGAATGCATTCACTATTATCATTAGTTGTAGCACTTCTAAAAATTTCTGAATTGTGTTTTTGGTAAAAATTTGGTCTATTTGAAAATGAAACTTAAACAGCAATGAACCAGTACAGGAACGTAATACATGCACAAATTCTACGCTGTGTCATCAGTGTGAGAACTACCTTAACAACACTAACTATACAACCACAATTACATGTAAATTATCTTTGTTGAAAAGAGGTAGGCCTACCAAAAATCCCTCAAACTATAAATCTTATGACAGGAAACCACATAAACAGAAATCTCACATGAGGCCATAAATCTAGTGGTGGATTTATCCATTATTGTATGCACTGAGTTGTGACTTACCATATAAGGCCTCGGGACCACCTGCCTTACTATTTCCGCTGTGTTTGGGGTTTCCCACTCAAAGCAACATTCCATGCACATTATTAACTTAACCCAGATGTCACCCTCCCACTACAACCCACAGTAAGGTCCCAGATGGGGGGAGCCAGATCTTGCCCAAGAAATAGGTGGCATCCCCATGAGGTGATTCATCAGCAAGTAAGATGGATAAAGAGACCTTGGACCTGCACCACTGAGGGCTTGGCTTTAACAGATAACCAAGGACTCTGCTGAAAGTTTCTGCTGTTCTGATATGTACTTTGTTTTGACCTGATGAATTGGCAAACCTCAGACTTCCTTCTTCCAAGCCTGCTGTATTAAGCACAATGAACATCGGCTTCTGGGTACATGTAAATGCTACACCAACAACCCATGTTGTTAAAAACTGTGATTCCTTGGGTTTTTGGTTATCCGCTACGTGTAATCTATGGTGAGACAATTCACAGCAGTGGGGATTAACAGACAAAGTGCCACTGTAATACTTACTAAATTACCAATTATGGAACTTGTTCATTTTTGCTGGTCAGATTTAGACTTCAACAGGCTTTTGTTAAAACTGTAACTTTTATATAAACAGTTTGAGGTTTTCAAGTTTTTAGAGACACACGTGTCCAAGGGTTTTGTTAAACACGGCACTTCAGCATACATAAACTCAGTATAATCCTAACAGAATGGTCGATCGATCTGTGGACTTGCTTCTCAAATCTTCCCGTCTCAAAAACCAAATTAATAAACAAAAACTCTTTTAACAAACAAAGAGGAGAGTTCTAACCTCAAAAACACTTTGAAAAACACACTGGCTTGAGTTGCATGTTGTCAAAGGATTGCAATGTTGGCAAAAAGTTCACATACCGGTGAACAGTCTGAAGCTGACAAACAGCCATTATGATCTCATTTCTGAATTATTTTCCGCCACCTCTCTGAACCCCTGACATGATCTTATTTTGATAACGAGCCATTTATTATAATGCAATAACATCTTTCCCCGTGGGTTTCACGGTGATAATGCCGTGTCATTTTTTCCCCCCCCATAATTCAAGCCCGTGGCCATTGATAGGCGTTCCTAGTTTTTCACTGACTAGAGCAGACAGGCGCAGGTCTGTCAAAGTGCAGTGTCATTTATATGGTTTCTGGGCGCCAGCTGTCACAATAGCCATTTCAAACGGACAATCCTTTCAAAGTTGCAATACACATTCCACCGGCAACCACCGCTATTTGACACAGTTCTACTCTACCCGGGAACCCACAAAGGATTTTATTTTACATTTACGCTAAAGAATGTGTTTCGAAATGTGGTCACCAGTTTCGCATTTTATTTATTATTGTATGAATTACTGGTATAATGCTACAGGAGAGCATTCATACATTTATAAACTTTCATGAAGGGTGTTTTAATACTTTAAGCCCAAGAAAACAAAATAGTGTGCGTGTGGTTTAGTTTCGTTTTAATGCAAAGCCACTGCAGAAAATTGCCAGGAATGAGGAAGTTTACTTAATTTTAGCTTTTTATAGCACTTACAGTATGCTTTAACAGTCGAGTATTTGTAATTCTTCATTTGGGGAAAAACCTGCATGTACGGTACATTTCATTGACAATCCCCAAAACGAAAGAGGAGTGCAAGAGTTGAGAGATTGTAACAGGAAGGAGATTCTAAAAGAAAAGTTGGTATACTGCAAGAAAAAACCTCGGCTACTAAAGTTCTGTTTTGACCAAAGCTCTGTTTTGTAAAGGAAAAACAAGATGCTCGTTCTATACTTCAAGCATACATGTACATGTAAGAATGAGTAGTTGACGTCATCAAAACATATTCACTTCCTACCTTTGTTCAGTTCCCTGCCCCCCCCCGCCCAATTTTTTTTTATTGTTGTCTTCCGTCAGAAGTTAGAATCATCGGACATTTTCAGCCCTTCAAAGGTATTGTACATGTATAATGAAATCAACAACAGCTCAGAAAAAAGGAAAACTACCGACGTCATCGTCGTAAGCTGCCGATGACTGGATGGGATGGAAAAGAAAAAGTTCCTTAGAATTTTGGCTTACACTGTGGCCACGTTCCAAGTTCAACATTGGAATACTGTAAAATTCCAGACTTTTATACTCCATAAAGGCGATGAGCGGGAAAAGTACGGACTTTTGGGAAATCCCCTTGATCCCCTACGTTCAAATTCGATTGCACAAAAAAATTTCTGCCAACCGTTGGCGTTACACCTCAGTGGAGAATATGAATACAGCCATAGTAAGTGGGACTTTTGTCCGATGTTTGTGTGGTGACTAACTCAAAGATTTTCAAACAAATGTTACGGTTGATTGCAAAAGGAACAAAATTTAGGCTAAACCTGCCCTCTCTCAATATGTTTGGGTCCTTTTTCAGAAGTTGTGCATGAATTTATTGTTCAATATTTACTGACAAGGGAAAGGAAGATTAGGCAGTGTGGTGTATTGATACACAGAGGTGACTTCACTAAGGTCTGCCAAACTAACATATACAGTGTTTCCTGTTTACGGTTAGTTTTCAAGATTATGGTCTGATGTGTCAGGAGGAATTCTTTTGTTGTTGATTTACAAATGTTTGCTCATCAAGGAAAAACAGCAGCATCATTTCTGTGAGAGGTGGGAGTTGTGTATGAATTCTAGCTGGCAGGGTTTAGCCATAGGGGCTATCTTCAAACCTTTTGAACGTCAGTTCATTTTCAATGTCTTATTTTATGGCAACATAAAAAAGGGTAAACCTGCTTTAACCCTGATTGCAGTGTTTCTTTGAGGCAAATTTGGACACAACTTTTCATTTTCTGGCTAAACCCCTGGCTACTTCTACACTGACTCCCTTCTCTCTTTCCCTGGGGAGGGGGGAAACAGCATATCTCACCTTCTGTCACCCTGATGATGTGCGGGTGATGCAGCGATGACATCACCTCAATCTCTTGGCGTAATCGCCTCAGGTCAGCTGCATTGTCGATCTTACTCTTGGGGATGCATTTGATGGCAACCTATAAGGTCAGAAAGAAACCAGGGAATTACTGAAACGCAGCTTTGCAAGTTTGAATTGCCAGTCGTTTGACAATTTTAGGAGGCAAGGGGATTTACATTCAATTCAAGCAACATACATGTAACTGTGAATTTTGTCTTAAAACTACAAATTTTTCACTATCATAATTCAACTAATGTGTATCACTCAGGAAAATAGAAATGAAAATCAAGAACACTGCAGATACGTAAACAGTGCCAGTTGCCAGTGCTGGTAGCTCTGCAATGTAATCTTTTAACCTGCCCAGACTTAACATTTTTCTGTATTTATTTCTAGTTCTACAATAAGAATCGTCTACATCATACATGTACATGTAGGCTAGCATTGAGGTATCCATTTCATGCTGATCTCCAAATCATGCTGTAGGGACATAAATACACCAGGTAATAAAGGACTGATCTCTCTCTCTACAGCTGACCATGAATTGGATTACAAATACAATCAATAACCACTGCATGCACTGGCCTTCAATATTAAAGCCCTATACATCTGTTGGGTCTAGTGGTATGGCTGGCCATTGTGTAAGGCCAATTCACACTGTATTGTTTTTGGAGGTCAGATCTATTGCTGTCTGGTTCCAACCCCACCTGTTAGTAACCCGCCATCTACCCCTGGCTGGTTGCTATCAACCACATTAAGATACACCTGGACATTGTCTGGTGGGTCCCCCCTTCCAGATCGGAACAATGGGACCAGAAATGCTTGGAATGCCTGAGAGACAAGGCTGCTGGGATTGTGAATAAAGCCTTTGGAGGACATCCTGTTTAATGTGGGATGTGGAGAGGAGGGGTGTTAGATGTTCCCCTCACATGAGATTCTTAACACCCAGTAAACAGGAACAATTTTGGAGGAATGCATCCAGAGTCTGTAACCATGGCAAGAAGTGGCGTGATGGTGCTCCAGCCTGGTCTGTGGGTTTTTTCCTTTCTTCACTGTCTTGTGTTTAAGTGGGGCACTTGTTTTTGAATAAAGCTTGTTTGCGGATGGCATTCCTCAGCCCAGCACTTGAAATGCCTCTCTGTCTGCCAAGCCCTGCTGATCAAAATGCCCCTATCTTGCCTATAGCAGTATACTGCATTCTGCAATTTCAAAAAAGGGCTACCTTGGGACTACCTTGAGCAATTCCAGCCCTGATGTTTATGATGTTGGGAAATTCGCTGATTTCTAAGAGCATTGCTCAAGCCACCTAAGGATCTAAAACAGATGTACAACAGATGTACAGACCTTGGATTCCAAGATTTAAGCCACGTCAGATTTTCTTAATCTCCACGCATGAAGAGCTGAATAACATTATGAAAAATTCCCTAGGATAATTTCAGACTTCCCTAAACATGACGGAAACCTTATTCCTTAGTCTGATGAGCTCAGGTGTAAATAGAGAGATTTTGTAAATTCAGAAAATTGATTGAGAGAATTTCTGTTGGTATGTTGGATGTTGATCACTGATGATGAAGAAAAAAGATACACTCATCTTCAAAACTCCTTACATTATATAGACAGAAATCCATCATATTTAGACTTTCATGACTTTGATGAATACCTTACAGAAATTAATAATATTAATATAATTGTAACATAATAAGGAGCAATATTATAAATCTCTACACAAGAAAACCTGTGCTTTCTGATCACAGAAAAAGTATGAATCCTTTAAATCAAATAAGAATATGCCAATCAATTAGCTGATAGTGATACTGGGCAGAACCTCCAGCCTGTGGGACTCTTTTTCCAAGCATCACCAGATGGTGACTGACATGGTTGAGTAGAGAGGCAAAAAATGACTCACCTCTTCCCTCGTATCAAGCTGCAAAGCCAACTTGACTTTTCCGTAGGTGCCGCTACCTAGCGTTCGGACAAATTCAAACCGATGGCTCAGATTATGCCGGTGCCGGTGTCTGATGGTGGAGGCAGCAGAAGGGCCAGCCTCCCGCTTCCTGCTCGTCTTCTTGAGGCTGGCCCGAGCAGTGGAGGATGCAGAAGAGGGGGCCGACGTTGGGTGCTCGCCGTCCGAACCTGATGAGGCAGCCGACGAGAGGGAGTCATCCGATCCTGCCATCGTCCAAGTGCCAATGTCCGTCTGAGTGTTGAAATGGCCTGAATGCAAGAAGGCCTCACGACTCAACACTGGTCACCTCGAAGTCCTGACTGATGTCTTACTTGAAAAGCCTGTGCAGGGAGAGTGATGAGCCTATAAAAATCTCACAAATTGCGGTCCACCTGGTGACGTTTTACATATGTAAACATTCTGGTGTACTTTCCTCCACTAATATAGATGAGTAACTGCCAGTCGTAAAGCACGTGCCTGTATTTTCAACAATCTCACCCCATCGTAAACCGCAGACCCCTTCCGTGACGAACGATTTCTACTCTTGTTCTGTTTATCCGGATACAACGTGCGGCAGAGAAGTTGACCTTGCATTTTAGCCCCGCCTAGCCTTGACACAATGGACCGCACGACCGTCAACAGAAGATCTTGCGTTTCCGATTGGCTGGATTGTTAAGCCGGTGACACGATACGGACGGTGCATGGCACGTGCGCTAGCTCTGCTCGTACGTACATGTACAGTACATGGGGATGTACAGTACACGTACAATGTACGAACACGTACACTACTTTCACAGAAAATTTGAAGCCCGCCCTCCTTGACTGATTAAGCCGTATGATGAAACATAGGGGGCGCTACAGTTCACTCTGAAATTACTCCTTACTGCGATCAGACCTCTATTAAAGTATTATAGTAGAGATCAGTGGATCAGACATGTAGTTTCATGGTAGCCATTCCTAAAATCCGTTCATCCCTAAAATCCAGCCTAAAATTCTTTACTTTTTTCCGAAGAATTAGGAGATAAGGTGCCAATATGGACACACAAACAACCGTGTTTCTGATGTTAGAACCATCATGAACAGAACCAAAGGCCACGCCTACTTGCGAAAACCATGGAGGGAGGAAATCCATGCGAAAACAAAGAATTGTAATTAAAAACCCTCGACAAGTGAGATAATACCAACCATGGAGGAAGGAAAACACGTGCCAACCCATGTAAAACAGTTTATTCACGACCGCCAAATCGCACCTCAGAGTATGAACTTCTTAACTCCGGCCTAATTTCTTCCTCAATAACTTTTGGTATTTACAAGTATTTGAGTTTCAAACCGTCCCAACAATTTCTCCTTTCAGGCGCCTTTTGTGAAAACGATACACTGGAAACCGTCATGCATCTGACCGGGGGTGGGGAGTGGGGAGCTGGGCCGCGGCGTGCTTCAAAAATGATAGGGGAATGGAAATAAGCACGACTTTTAGGTACTCTTTATGTTTTCTCCCTGAAGTGTATAAACAAATATTGCCTTACTCCCCCTTTTTAATTCCGGGTCATTCTGTAAATTCAGGGTCCATGGACATGGAAATGTCACCGGAATTGATAAACTATTACTATAAGTTTGGCAGGTACTTTACATTAACCCAATTCATCACGCTTGGAAATTAGAAAATGTGTTCTGCACTTACAAAATCATAGATCTGACAGGGACACCAAAAATCGGACCCCTAATTTATAGAATTGCCCTCCTCATTTTGGAGAAACTTCCCCAAAATTTGGAACCCTGAAAATTCGCCAGTGTATCCACCGTAAATAAGACATTGTTCACTGTTACCAGATTCATAGAATGGACCTAACGAGCTGAGTAACAACCGTTCCCACTAAACAAAAATTGTCTGTCGGGAGGCTTTCAAACATGTCGAAGCACATGAAATGAAGCTCATAGGGTGTACGGCTATTTTATGTCGTTATCCGCTAAAACAGTCAATTGTCTTCAGCGATACGAGCATGACCTGACAAGTCTCTTGAGCAGGTTGAAATGCTATATTTATATAGCCTCCTATTGGTCAGTGTTATGATTGAAGCTAAATATTCAACATGGATGGTGAGGTCAGAGTACCTGTCTCGTCTTGTCTAGTGGGGAAAATACAACCTGTCGCACAACATAAAGAGAGAAATAAAATCGAAAGCATATAAAATACATACATGTACGACGCTCTTCTACACCGTGGACTTTGTCTTTTAAAAGCGGTACAGCGTGCTTTAATTTGCTGTGGTAAAGCTAGTGTGGGTGGGGCATAATACTTGCAATTGCACTGTGCATGTACATGTACATGTACAGTGTACATGTATACACACTGTACGTTATCTGTGCAACTACTCAACAAGAGGGTTTTCCACAACTCAAGGAAACCGCGGGGTTCTGTTTGCCGTTCACGACGATAGTTGGGTAAGCCCACATTATTCAGAATTGCCGAGAGTCACGCAGTGCATGATCACAGTAAATGGAGGCATAAAGTGCACGTGAAATCATGGAAATAAGCCTTGTGCTAGCCCAGGTGGACTCCCTGAAAATTACTGGGGGAAGAGAGTATGAATCGTGGAGCAGTCGTGCTCGGTAGTACAGTGGTTGGTTGTTGATCAAACTTTTTGGTATAACGTTCAGCGCAATCTTGACTCTTTGCGCAAATCCAGTGAATGGATTTCATTCAAAGTAAGGCCCCCAAATCAACTCAGGATAGAGTACTTAGCAAGGTTTAGTGCTGTTAGTCAAGTTATTGGTGTGTGTCGGTCAAATACTATAAGAATGAAAGATTACTGATTTTTGGAAGTAATTCAAAGTAGCCCAGTTGTCGAGCACAATTTGTATTTTTGATAATTTTAATGTAGATTATGTCAAATAGTATATGGGGTTTAGACAAATCCCATAACTTTTTAAGATGCCATTCCCAAGGGGCCATTTACACCCTCGCAGCTGTCTCAACCTGAACACACGCGCACCGCCAGCGCTTGAACAGGATGGCCCTGTAGTAATGGCATCTAATTTTGGTCGTTGAATTTGTCTGTCAGTCGAAATGTTCAATTGTTGAATATTTGCCGGATTTAAACATCCCTTTTTTGAAATAATCTTGCACAACCATGAATTAGAAAGAAAAGGCAAATGGTTGACAGTGAAATTATTGAAAAATCTTGCAATAGGATTGATGTTTAAATTTGGGGCTTTCGAGCCAGATTGATCAGATTGAGTGATCAGGTGGTCAAGCCAGATTTGACAATCCCACCTAACATGTGCACATTGATCATTTTCGTCATTAATATTAGTGCACACATGACACACAGTCAACCTTGCATCTTACTTGAAGGACCTTATTGTCATTGGAACAAGAAATTGGTAGGTGGGTCATCCATCTTACACCAATTGAAAAAAAAAAGGAATTTAAAAGGATAGACATTTGTAATTGGGGCAAAAACCCAACAGAACCGTAATAGCAAAGAGTTGAGAACCTTGAAGAGTTTTGAAAGCAAACCTTTAATTTGACTGGATTTTTTAACTTTCCTGACATCACAGAGAGGGCTCGAATTGAGTAAGAATTCTGGATCATAACCTTGACCATGCCTCCTAAAAGGAAAGCTGCTGTGGCCAAAGCCGGAGGCAAAAAAGCAAAGGTGGAGGAGCCCACTGCTACGGAGAGCGAGTCTGACCTCAAGCAGGCTGTGGAGGCCCTCAAGTCTGCCGAGAAAGGGAAAAAGAAGGCCTACGTCATCGACAGCTACTTCCCAGGCAGTGGCTCTGTAAGCAAACTAATGCCTGGTTTATTGCAATGTGATGTATGCTCAGTGGGCTTTAACTTGGTCCAGTATTCAGGTTTTGTTTGTGGTATTCATGCCAAAAACGGAACACCTTGGTAAACCCTCCTCCTCAACATGACGTTAAGTCATGGTCGATGGGTGGGGGGGGCTTACAAATGACAGTTATACAAATGTACGGTTCGCTTCGTCTTTTCTGCACAACTGTACTCGACATGGGCTTCAATTTGAAAGTAAAATTTACATAGGACCCTGCCAGAATGAGATGTAAAACTCAAGTGACATTAACTTGTGCTTACCATTTACTATCACAAATGGTGCCAATTTTATACTATTAAGTGACACTTCTCAAAAACATTCTGTAAAAAAAAATTCCCTTTATTCTACTTGTAAAGCTCCACTAGAAATTCTCGCATAGTTTCTTGTATGTTTCATTACATTAACCCTAACCTTCCCCAACCACACAGAATTAAACAGTAGTAAAGTGTTTAATTCTGTGGGGATAGGTCTGGTAGGCCCATAACAGCTGCTTTTGCATTGGGTTTGGTATACCTCAGAAAAAC